TAATAATAATAATACACAAATTAATACAAATTTGTAAAACAAAACATATGTCCTTTTTTAACATGCTGCGGTCCACATAGCTTAAAAAAAGATTTTATCACAATTTTGAGGCTGCTGACAGCATTTGAATTGCAAAGATTTTTTGTTTTAGGGAAAATGCATTTTTTAAAAAGATAAAATAGGGAATTTCAAAGAAAACAACTCCTTTCTCACAGCAGAGATATTTTGCTAATAGGGATGCACCGATTTGAAAATTTCAGCCGATATTGATATTAGATATTATTATTGGTATTATGGCCGATAACTAATATTTACCAATATTACACAAACACACAAATTATTTATAGAAATATACGCTCATACTTGTGTCTTGTTATCAACACCATGAAAAAAAAAGACCAGACTGCTGACATGGCTCTACTTCAGTTATTCTTGGCTGTGCAGCATCAGTTTCACTTTCATGATCAAACAGATACCACTCAACCAACCAATTCCCCTCCTGAAACAGAAACACAAAACTAAAAAGTGGGAAATGAATATCGGACATTAATATTGGCCTTGTTTTATTTATTGGACCGATACGATATTCTAAAAAAATGACCAATATCGGCCAATACCGATGTTAATGCCAATATATCGTCTATCCCTATTTGCTAACAAAAACAAGTTGCTGGCCTCATATTTTATGTTTTGTTTTTGTTTGTTTGTTTGTTTGTTTTTTCTTAAAAAGTCACGGTAAACTGTTGCTCTTGTGTTTAAAAGTTCTAATAGGCCTAGTTTTCTCTTACCAAAAACAGTACCTCAAGTATATATCAAGTATATTTAAGTAGAGTAATGTACATTTCGTCACTTTTACTTACCAGGTACACTTTTAGAATAAGCCAAGTATAAGCAAGATTAACTTTGTGTACAGTAAGCTGAAAGTATTTTCTTATTTTTAGTTTAATATACTTCAAATGTTGCATTTACTTCTTTTTCTATCTGGCAACAAATTGTATTAGGCATGTTCAAAATAACTTTATGATAACCCAAAATATTTTTTCCCCCAAAGGACTGAATACATTAATCAAATTTGAAGTAAACATTTAATTAATTAAGTGTGAAATGTCTGCAGGTTGTTTTCATCTCTGCCACTTGCACACATGTTGAAAAACGGATGTTGCAGTGAGCTCATTTATTGTGCAGCTAATGATAAKAATGTGCTTCAGAGCATCAGGGGATGCCATGTGTGAGCAGCACCTGCTGATCAACAGCTTACCTGCTTTTTGCTCTTGCATAATCTCTCCAAGCTTTTAATTTAAACCAACTCCACCTCCTCTGCTCCCTTCATCCCTCTGTCTTTTCTCCTCCCATAGCTCTTGCCTTTTTTTTCTGTTTCAGTGGCTCCTCCCATCGAGATGTACCTGTGAGGCTGTGATGTCAAACTGGATGAGTCAATTAAGGTTTTCATTAATCCACTTCAGATCTGCAGCCAAGCCTCAAACAGCAAGGGGATGTTCCTGCAAAAAGTGCTGACTCATTTACTCAGACACATCTCTGACTCATTACACAGCATTTTGGGATCATGTGATCCTCACAGACGTGCAACAATGATGCATTACGTTTACTGTTTATTTGTTTTACAGAGACAGTGGATAACATTTCATTAACCTTTTTAAAAAGAGATGCATGATACCAGGTTGTAGCAAAAAAAAACAAAAAAAACGCTCATGTCCACCTGCAGTTCCTGGACAGGTTCATGGCAAATGATTACAGATTATGAAATGATTTAACAGATTGTGAAAAAGCCACTATAAAGTACATATCTGATGTTTAATTATTCACTAAAAACAAGCAAACCAGCAATCATACAGACAGTTCATAAAAACATTTCATTGCCTTCATCAACAATGGGTGCAAATTTGCTTTTTTGCCAAATGTGCAAACATTTTATATTTAGTGCATGTTATAATCTCATTTGGCACAATGGGAAGAACAAAAATAGTCTGTTTGAAGAAAAAGGCATCATGCACCGGCTTTGTTACTGATGATCCCAACTAATGATGCGAACGCTGATTCAGCATTAACGCAGGCAGAGTTGAGTGCGTGTGATGCAGGCTGGATGAGCGAACAGACAGAGCTGAGGAGAAATCCTGTTAATGAAATCAAAAATAGAGATAGGCGTTTGATTTAATTATGTGGTAAAACAGCCTGCCATACTTTGATGATTTCTTGGTGTTTCCTGAAGAATGCTGCACAATCTGCATAACATATACAGATGAGACAACGGAGTGTCTACTTGGACACATTAAAATTAAACAGTGCAGGGGGTCATAACTTATRATAATAACTTTTATTTTTACCTCCGGGCGCAAATGAACGATTATTACTTAGTGAATACGTGCAACAAATTTATTTCAATGTGTTRTAGCATCACATAACTTTTTGCACTCTTGCACTTTATGTGAAGAAGCTGGCTTTTGAGGACACCTGCAGAAAAACTGTTGCAATCAATGAAAACTTTTAAGTAGGTTATTTGAACGTTGAAATCTGAGACCTCTTCCTCTGTTTAATTATTTTTGTTTTCATTTGACATAAAAGGCCTCCTTTCAACMCTCTCTAGCTGCTGATCTATTTTGAAAATGCAAAAGACACACATGCATGCTTACAGCCAGCTGACACCTGTTTTATTTTATCTATGCATTTGTGACATTTGATCTTCTTTTTTGTTTCTCTGCTCATTCAGAATACACCCGTGAGATTGAATGGAGCATTTCCTGTTTTGAGGCTGCAAGAAGTGTTTTRGCCATTTGTCTTTTAGAAATTGACATGATGAACCTGTGCAGCAGCTGAATACCTACAGATGTCATGATATAGCTCTAACAGGTGATTGTCACTGTTGTGAATGTCCACTGAGTACTTTCAAAGGCTTTTCTCTAAGTAAGATCATAATGCTCCGGCTGGGAGGGAGTGCTTTAGAGCTTAGCTCGCCTCAAAACACTGGCCTCCTCCTCCTCTTCCTAGGTAGGTTCAAAGCAGCCCAAGGTTGCCTCTACCTGGTTAGGTAACAGTTTACCATCAGGAGGAGGTCGATGTTTCTCCTCACTTCTCCCATCTTCACCTGCAGCCCAGCCTCACCTTTAAATCTGCCGTTACCTAATGACAGAGCTCGTGCAGAAACATGGGCCGGCTGATTTAAAGAGTTTTGGCAGAGGACCTGAGCGAGGCCTTTGTGTGTTTATGTGGATGTAAGTGTGAACGGATGAGCGCAGAGTTTGGGTCTGCTCTTCAGTGGAGATCAATGACGTTCAAACCTATTAGTCAGAGGATGCAGGGATTCTCCATCAGGGATTGACTCTTTTTTTTTGCAAATGTATTAATTTTTTTTGGATACTATTATCAAAACAGTAATCAGTGCCATTCATTAAAAACTTTCAATACTTTCTTTTTTTTGTGTGCACACAGTCCAGTTCAACTTTTTTATCACTTAAAACAATTCATTTTATACATTTCACATACAAGCTGCTGAAAAAAAAATGAGGAAAACGTCATGTAGCCAAGTAAAAAACCTGTTTTTTGTCACTGCATGAGTCTATATTGTCCATACAAAGACAATTCTGTCAAAAMACAAGCTCACACAAATGTTTCTCCAGAATGCACTCCAGCTGACATGTAAAATCTGAWTAGATGTCATTTGATTTTAATTTCAGATTAAAAGTTATTAATATAAAATCTGGCAAGTATTCAAGGAGAAGCTCCAGATAACAGCTCACATAATGTTCTCATATCACTCTTTTTTTTTTTAAATATTCATCAGGCACTTAAACGTCTCCTTGTCCTTCTTGTGTGTACTGGATCATTGTGAACTCTGTGAGATCAGGATTTCGCTGACACAGGTGAAGGGAGGGGTTCTCTGCGTTCTTCATAAGGCCATTAAGAAAACGCTCCTTGGAACAGCGACTGTATAAGCCCTGTGGCTTTGACTTCCACTAATCATCTTACAGGCGACACATGCAGCCTGTCAATGTGCCTGCATGGGAACACCTGTACCTGACAACAGCAAGCTCATGGTGGCTGCATCGTAAGCTTCCTCTCATCATCAACATTCAAAATCAAGTAAATTCAATTTAACGTCGCTCCAGCAGAAGCAACTTTATTTGAATCCCTCTAAAGATCCAACACTCTTTGGAATAAAGCAGCAAGATTAAAATGACACAAAATGAATTAAAAACTAATGTTAAATGTTCAAGTTTATTAGCAGATATAAACTAAGGGTGCAAAGGTAATAGTTTGTCCAACTTTTGGTTTAAGGCTTCTTTAGGCATGTTTTTTTTTTTTTTTGGGACAAATCGGTTAGAAACTCTGAACTTTTACTACGTAAAATATGCAATTAACATTTTTTTAATAATAGGAAAGGCAGATTTCTGAAAAGGATTGAAAAGACAAAAAATATTTAAACAAAAGACAACAATTAACACTTTTTGTACTTTGAAAACTGTTTTCTTCTATTCCTGCAWAATGAATTAAGTTACACAGATACTGTTTAATGCAGATGAACTACCAGTACTTAAAATTTTTTTGGAACTATATTTTGTAGTAATTATATGATGAAGAAAAAAAAACATAATAAATTACTTCTGTGTCCATTTTTTTACAGGCTGATGGCAATTCAGGTGCCTGGCTCTTGTTGCCAGGAGAACTCCGCGTCCCATTGGTCGCCGCTGGACCACGTGACGCACAGTTTTGACGTCACTCCGAGACGCTGCGGGGCTAATCGGAGAAGCGGTTCAGGAAACAGCCTTCTGGAGTTTGGACTGCGAGCAAGCCGGGAATATCAGCTCCTGTGTGGCTCCTGCTGGGGTTTCTCTGAAACTTTTACCGTCCTCCCCCCCGGCTTTAGACTCGAGGTAATGGACAATTAAGGAGACTTTTTTCACCAACTCCCCTCCCGGACAACAACTTGAAAAGCGAGGTAAGTTGTTGCTAATGCGTTCCTCCCCCTTTTTTACTACTGAGTTTACCCTCTTCCTGATACTTTTTATATGTTCTCACAGCTCAGGTGAGATGACTTCACGTTCTAAACACGGACTCTTGCAACATATAAATGCCTACCATCACTTTAATTCGTCTGGTTGTACACATGTCAGGACCCACTTGAACACGCTTCCGTCCGTAACTTTGCTCTGCAGCAGCATTGCGATGCATCAGCAGCGGATAAGCTTTAACCAGTACATTTTTAATCGGATGAAGTCGCTTCGTTTTTTATCCGTAACCTTCAGATGAGCCACAGACAGAGGGGTGCTCGGTGTCTTTTGCATTTATTGAGTGAGAACAGGAAGTGGAAAAAAAAAGAGAGAGAGAGAGAGAGAGAGAGAGGGACCACACAAAGCTGAGAGAGTATCTCATTTCAGCAAACACATCAAGCAAGAGGAGAAAAGGCCGATAGATTTACTGGCTTTACCTTGACAAGAGAGTGGAAATGTTTGTTTTTCCCTCGAAACGAATCACGTGCTCTTTAGGTCGAAAGTGTGGCAACATTCACTTTGTTTTTAGGGCTCTGGAGACCCCAGTTCTTGTTGCATGTTCTTAGCATGTGTGGTTTTTAAATGATCCCTTAGACACCTGCAAGTTTTAGTTTGTGTGGCATAAGATTTTGCAGCTTTTATTTATTTGTAAATTTGCAATTAACACCTGTTATATCCGTGTGATAAAATGTCCAGATAATGACACAACACCACAAGAAATGTGGACTTTTTATGTTGTAATAAAAGTTTTATAGATTGGTACAATTTCACTTGGTGATTTGCTGTTTTACTTTGTAAAGAATTGAGAACAGTATGCACAGGTTTAGATCCATAGCAGCTATGGAAAATAAGGATTAAACATTAAAGTTTTCTATTGGATGCAATTAGTTTTTTTTTTTTTTGGGCAAATGCACTATTTTGTGCTTATTTATTGTCTTTGGTTKAATGTGAGCCGTAAACAACAACAGATAACGTCTAAATTTCCTCTGTTTGTCCCACTAAAATATTCATGAAAGGATCAGAATGGTTGGTAATGTGGGTTAAAAAACAAAAGGGAATTTATTGTAATAACGACGAGATAAGATGAGATTTAGATGCAGGAAATGAAGGTAAAGCAGCTCCATCATGTAGGGGAAACAGCAAACTAACCCTGACACACACTGCTGTGGGGATTGTTATTTTTATTTTATTTTATTTTATTTAATTCAGCAACTCAAGTGGGCAATATAACATAGCAAGAAAAATAAAAGACCTGCGGACGTGTTGACGCAAGGGTGGAGTCCAGATAATGGGCGCCTTGTTGCTCAAAGCATCTCTTCAAGCATTTCAAGATGCTGAACTCCCGACAGATGTTTSCCAAATTTGAACAGATGTTCTATTTTTGTTGGCGTGGGCGTCTTGTGGGTTTGTTTTGGGCCAGACCGACCACACTGGCACCACGGCCTGTAGTTAGGCTTGTCTAGGAAGCGGTCAGTGCTCTTTTTAGATCCTCTCTCTCTCTTTTTTTTTCTTTTTTCTTTTCGATACCAGATTGAGTGATAAGGATGAGCAGAACATAAAAGCGAGCAAAGGAAGAAAGAAACGATGCTCTTTCAGACAGATAATATTTCAGATATAAGGCTCATTCTGTGCAGCACTGAGACATTTCTGCTTTGTCTAAAACAGGCCGTTCTGGTGGGGGGAAAAAAAGCACGTTTAGATAATCTGTGCAAAATGACCATCACTCTTTCTCTATAACAAGTGACAATTTTCTGTGAGTGTTTGTCCAATCCTCCATCTGTTTTGCAGCTTTGCCCTCCTCCTCGAAAGCCGCCAGTGACATTTTTTTTATCTCGTTCTCATTCGCTCCTCATAATGGCTTCAGTGTCATGATTGTGGTTTTCTGCAGCGCCTTGACGCACAAAGCTCTCCGGCTCACAATGGGAGCTGATGTGCGCTGAATTTCGATGAAGACTCTCCCTCGAGGTTCTCAACTACATTATGGATTAGATTGTGTGTTTGAAAAATGGTTTTAAATATTAGTAACAAAAGCAGGCTCCTGAGCTCATCTATGCAGAGAAGACAAAGATCATCACGTCATAGCATAATCTTTATTACCACAGGCTTAATTTTAAACAAATTAAAGTTTAACCAACCTTTAAATGTTGTCATTTAGGTTTTAATATTGTAAACAAATCCCAGGAGTTAGACATTAGCTTTTCCTTTTAAATATATTTGTAATAAAGTTTGTTTTTGAGCACTAGATAAAAAAAAATGGAGCAAGAGAGGACACTGTTTTTCTCAGAAAATGAGTGAAACAATAAATTGGTAACAAAAATCCAATTAGATTAAGTTGTGACAAGAATTGAGCCATCTTAAAATCATCTTGGAAGTAGTTAAACATTCCAACATTGTTTAAAATACATGTTTTTCATGTTTTTATTAAGTGGATGCTGTTTGAGTAATTTGACTTTTTTTTTTTTTTTGCTTTACCTGATTTGTCAACAGAAAGGACTTTCAGAGGACTTTCCACGCTCCGTAGCACCAGCAGTGATCTCGCTCTGACCTTAAAACCAAATAACACAGTAGATAGAGTTGCAGTCAGGCATTCAGGGAGCCACTGAAGCTCAGCCGAAGTGAGCGCACTTTGTCGCAGGCCTTGTAACGTGAGCGCACACGCTCCCAGAGTTATGCCCGGCCGCGGCTGCGTTTAACAGCGGTTTGAAGCCAGAAACTTGCTTACTCGCGATCTGAGACGGGCACAGTTTAAAAAGCTCGTAAAATGTGAGCCGTATCGCCACAAGTGGCGAGCTTGTGCCAGTTTTATTGCACAAAATCACTCCAACGTCCTCGGTTCCTTGTACACAGCTTATTTAGGTTAACAKTCTTGCATAGGCACTAGTTTATGATTTTGTGTAGCATTCAACTATAGATTTTAATGCAACTGATGCAAAACCCTCTCAGTGAGAATAAACTAAAAGATCTTTTAAATTTGTTTCTCAGGTTTTTTCATAACTTCCGGCCTGTGAGGTTGAGAATGCACTCGGCTCATCAGCCGGCGCAGCCATGCATTATATTTCATTCTGAATGCATCATTCATAACCTCGCCATCTGGAATCAGGTCTTTTTTTCAATCGCTCCGCCTCTCGGGCGGCTTGCTACAGCCGCCAGAGTTCTTGGATTATCTGTAGGGCTCCTGCGTTGGGACTTACCTGCAAGATATAAATGGAGACTTGTCCGTGTTACATAACTGGACTACAAGATGTTCTGGGATGAATGTGTGGAGCGCCTTGAAACAACAAGTTTAATACAAGACAGAGACCCTGAATGCACACAGAGCTTGAGTTAAACTTTTTTCTTTATAACAAAAAATAAAATAAATTATTATTTTTGCAATTTAGCTAAGAATACAATTAATTGCTGAGAAAACAATATACCAATAATATATTAGGCCAGTGTTTGTCAAAGTGGAGCCACTTTGGGGAGCCTCAGAAAGCTGGAGGGAAGATAAAAAAGCAAAAATATAAAACCTAATAAATGTTTTAAATCATTATTATAAAACTGAATTTGTTTTTCAATCACTATTTAAAAATATAGTTTATAATAATATATTAATGTCATTTAAGAGAACAGTTTATTGTAAAGTTGTTTTTTTCAGTGGGAATGTAGTGTTGAAAACATGTTAGTTAATATAATATCATGCTAAACAAATGTAGTAATTATTTAATAGTGAATAGAAATTAGATAAAGCATTCTAAAGTTTATATTTCTTTACATATTTTGTAGCATTGTTTGTGGGTTTCCCCAGCCAGGAGCTAATGCTATTTGTGGGGCCATTGCATGGAAAAGTTTGGACCCCCTGTATTATGGAGCCTTATAAGAGTATTATGAGGGTCATGATGACAGAGAACATGAAGGAGGACTGATATAAATTAGATTTATTGCCACCAGTATCATCATTGCAGTATTTATTAATAATATTGCAGATGCATGCTTGGGATCCCCACAGACATAGTATCAATTATCTATCTCCATTGCTTTTTGTCAGAGACCAAAGTGGTCACACCCACTGGTCAGTAAAACCTGAGGCGCTCTTAGTAAATTTGGCACCAAACCAATGCAGCTTTATTATGAACATGGATTAAAATCAAAGCAATGCGGCAAATAAAGTATCCTGGTTCCTCTTTACGCTCCTGGTCCGAACGTTTTCCCTAATATACCTCTCAGACAAACCACCAGGAGAGCAAGATTTACAGGAGCCTTTGAAATTGAAGCCATCATCAATCCCTCCTTAGTTTGACTCCAGCTCCCTCTGTTCGTGACGATCCACCCAACTCTCTCAAATCAAACCAGTTTCCTCCAGTACTCTTTGCTCTCTGGCCTTCACGCCCACCACCCACACGTCTCATCGATTATCATCCTGCCTACACAGTCCGCTGCGTCCTCAGTATTCGCTGCAAGTGGGCGAGACCTTCAGTATTTTGTGGACTGGGAAGGATTCACCCCATTAATCATCGTACTTCCTCTGCTGGGTGGTGCTTGTAGTTTTTGACAGCACTCTCGGCTGTATTTAATTCATCTGATGACTGCATGGTGTTTAAGGCTGAGCTGAACTATGAGTCTTTGCTGGATCGTTAACGTCACAGAGTGGTCCTTCTCATGTCGGCCCTCTTGTGCAATTACTGTCTGATTAAAAAAAACTCTGGTAACACCTCCCTGTTTTCCTTTGGCTTTCAATAATTTGGTCATATAATGCACAGTGTCTGGCTGGGTTAGAGGTTTTTATTGGTCAGAAGCTCTGTGAGGTAGAGCTATACATAGTGCTTGTCTGAAAGTGATAGCGCGTTCTTCTGCATTAGCTGAGGTYAGCAGCTCCAGCCTGTTCTCTGCTCAGGTTAAACTAACCCTTTGYTCACTTGTTCTGACCTGATGAGCCGCTCAAAGAAGAGTTTGTCTCAAACCACGTGAC